ATGAAAGGCGGCAGAGAGAAGAAAAAAATCTTATATCTGCCTCTTTTTTCTCAAGTATAAATTCAAATTATAATAATTTTCAGTTAAAACAAAACATAAAATCTTTCTAGGACAATAAATTGAATGGCTACATATTAAACCATTTCATATTTTTTAACAATCTAATCTTTATCATTCTCTTAAACATTTACACTGATGTGGCATTTTTAACATCATCTTCCAAATTATTCCACAATCTCACTCCTTGGATTGAGGTGCACCGTTCTCTCAAACGTACTAAATTTAAGTTTCATGAATATTTCTATTTCCTTTAGATTATAACAGCTTTCTCTCTTCGCAAAGTTTATCTGAATGTTTGAAGGTAATGTGTTTCGGTGTGCTTTACACATAACTAACAAAATATTATAATCAGCCAAATCACAGAATTTCAATAATTTCAGTTTACAAAATAATATATTAGATGGATAATGGTAGTTTTTTCAAGTGATAACTCTTATAGCCCTTTTCTGCAAAACAAAAACAGGATGTGTAATAGTCTTACATGCTTTACCCCATTTCAACACAATAGACCAAGTATGGAACAATTAATGAGTTATATAACATATACAGAGCTTAATCAATGAACAAGTCCCTACTTTGTAAAGCAATGCAATAGATTTAGCTAGTTTTATTGTTAAGTAATTTATATGAGGTTTCCATGTCAGTTTCTCATCAATAATAACACCCAAAAACTTCTAATCTCTACACCATCAACTCTAAACGGAATGTTAACAGTTCTTTGTCTCTTTGCAAATATCATATAATTAGTTTTGTCCAAGTTTAATGATAATTTGTTGAGTTTAAACCAGTTTTGTATTTTCACAAATTCTGCTTGCATTTTCTCTAACGTTCGTTCTGTCTTTACCCAAACAAAAAAATGTGGTGTCATCTGCAAACAAAAGACATTTAAAGAGCCCTGACACACTGTCCAAGTCATTTACATATAGGATAGTTTACATTTTACATATTTAGATGTGATTTAGGAGTTTTACAAATATCTGTTTGAGCCTTCCAGCATCCTACTTGTATTTATTTATGCAATCATATTATTTTTGTATATAAATGCACAAATGACAATGTTTAAACTGCTAAATATTTGACAGTGCAACTAATAAAGGTCATTGGGATATTTTGTAATTTACAGAAAATGAGATTTTTTTCCTCCCAAACTTGCATTCAGACTCATCTGAGTGTTGGAAGATCATCACTGAAATCAAACGAAGGACTCTTGCAATAAAACAAAAGAAAAATCTATTCAAATGTCTAAACCAATTAAAAAATTAATAAATATAAACCCACTTTTCAGTCATTTGTCAGCTCTGTGTTTTTAATAAACCGTTTCCACCTTTATTGAAAAGAAAACCAGGAAAAAAAAGAACACAAGTTAAAATCTCAAGCACTTTATTAGGTTTAAACAGTATCTTACTTATAAAGGCCATTTGGCATTATATAATTATATATAATTTTATCATATATAATTATATATATACATATATTCAAATGTTGAATAACAAAACACTACAAATAAACTTAGGCGAATTGAAAAAAAAAAAGTGGAATTGCTCAAGACAGTTATACCAAATCAAAAACCACCAAAATAAAAACATTTAACACTTTTTAAAAATGGTCCCGATACAGTTCTTGGGGGGAAAAAAGGAAAATATGGGAAGCAGAAGACAAAAAAAGCAAGGCTGTAGACAACAATGACATATAAATAACCTTACATTATGTACAAAAGGAGGAGTGTTAACCACCGGGAAATGAGTAAAAGGAAGAAGGAAGTGGACACCAGTGAATGGAGCTGGATGAAACAAAGTCTGATTCTGTTGGGATGTATCTAAAAAAAAAATTAAAATGAAGGGAAACAAACTTTATTTATATAAAACCCATAACTGATTACTTGTCATGGACCTCTAACTGATATTAGGAATAAATTAATCACAAAAAGGGACCTTGGTGTTAGTTTTATCCACAGATTTAAAGCTGTGGAGCTAAAGGGAATGTGAAGAAAAGGATATGCCTCACGCTGTTCATTAGGTGAACAGCTGGTAAATGCATGTCATTAAGAAAAACAGAGGCAACAAGATGATTTCACCGTGTGAAGTACGAGGGTGAAGGATTATATAATATATTTTTGGACATCAACTACTGAGGWACTTTTTTATTTTTCAGTTTAATTCATATCACAGTGTCGTGTTTGGCTGTCAAACAGCAGCGACGTCTCAAACCCCCAACAAAATGCACAATAATGTTTAAAACGGAACAAAAGCTGAACATCATACTCTGTCAGCTTCTTTCAGGAAATGTGAAATGAAGAGCACGATGGCACTTAACGACAGAGCGGGCACTTGTGATGCTGTTGACAAAAATAAACGTTTTCAGCGATTGGTCGATTCAGCTTTTTGCTGAATCTTTTTGCTTTTTGTCCGATCCACACAGATGGCTTCATCTTCAAGACCTGAAAAACCCATTAGAGTCTCCGTTTKCTAAATTCAGAACATCACTTTGACCTTTTTTTCTCTCCCTCATTTGGTTTCTTTTAAGAGCTTTTTGACTTTTGGTGCAAATTCTGCACGAGTGCTCAAACAAACATTCAACACTAATGCAATCCCCCTTTCTCACAATTAGGAACTTTTTAACCATAATTTAAAAAAAGGATCATTTTGATTGTGCTCATTCTTTGTATAAAGGGTAATAAATATAGGAGTGTTAGCTGAATGCAGACTGTGTACAAAAATGGAGGCGTTTAGTTAAAGTTGGAGGCAAAACGTTCATGCTGTAAAACTTATTTTTTCTTTTTCTWTCAGTGAATTTAAACACTGGGCTGGCTGGGTTTATAAAACAACTTCATTTATCTTTTATTACACTCATAACAAATGTGGCCTAAACAGTGATATCAGCTGGAAGATAATCCCAGCTTCTAAAGTGTTCTCCGGACATCCATATAAATAATAATAATAATAGAGTAACAAACATGGCAGGACAAAATAAARGCTGCTGGCAGTAAAAGGTACAAACACACAGTGATGAGGTGCTGATATCAAAAGGAGTGACTTTTAATCTGAGCAAATGTGAAGCAGAAATAAAATCCTCCAAATAAAAAACATTGATGTATGTCCAGAAAAGAGTAATCGCTGGATATTTAGGATTTGTTGATTTCTAAACAACGTAACTTTTAGTTGCGGCTCGGCTCGTCAACATGATCATCCTGGTTGCTGAGACTGTATCAGACCTTAAAGGAGTAGTTTGACCATTTTTTTTTACGTGGGTTTCTGTGTAAAAGTAAAAACAGTGGTGGGCACAGCTAACTGAAATATAAGCTTCACCAACACCAACGGTTCAGATTAAAGTTGTTTTAAAGTGCCTGTGACATCAAACTTTTTTAAATAATATGAATGCATGTTTGGAAAGATAACRTTGATAACATTGCAAAAATAAATTTCACGCTGCTGAGATGAACAGTAGTTGAGATATTTGCATTTTAAGTAACAGGAAGTGATGTCAAAGGCGAATGTTGGAATGAGAAGAGAGCGCTGCTACTATAACATCACAGACTGCAGAGAAAAATCTGACGTTACTTTAGATTATTTTGCATCACTGTCAGTGAGAGATGAAAAAGAGTCAGAGTTCAAATAATATTGTTTCGATAAACAAAGACAAGAGAGTTTTCTTTCTTAAAGAGTTCCTCTTTGATGTCACTTCCTGTTTCATTTTGGCTGAGCCACTTTCAAAAGAAAGTATGTCAGTTATGCAACAAAATGAGTAAAATCATGTGTTATGTAGTTTCCTAAATGTTTTCTTTCTTTTTGTATTTAAATAATGTGCATGTCACGGGCACTTTAAGATGACACTTTGCTTTTAGCTGCAATAACACACAATCTATAACAGGTAAGACATTAGCTGTGTCTCAATTCAGGAGTTGCATCCCACGTAGGCTGCCAGTGTAGGCTGCATAAACGGTCTAGTCTACAGATGACACGTTTATGTGGCGACGTGCTGCCCCGTTACCACACTGATATGTTTTATATCACGTGCCTTCAGTTGTCTTCACGGTATAACTTCACAAAAATCAGTATTATTAAAAAAACGGTAACTGTAAACAAATAAAGCCTTAATAATTTGGGTTTAGCTCCAGTATCAGTGCTTGTAGTTGCATTTTATTTAACAAGTCATTGCATCATAGATTTCATCAGCTAAATTACTAAACATACTGCATGTTTAAAAACAATTATTCGGTTCTTCATTTTCTGAACTCTTCAGTAAAAAAAAAACTTTTCTGTGTTTATTTTTTCTGTTTACTTTGCTGATGACGCAATGAATCCTGGGATATCGTATCAGATGCAGCCTACATTTTTGGGGTTTTGTGGGCCGCATCAGCAGGTGCCTAAGAATTGGGACATCTTATGGYCCTACATGGGCTGCAACCYCTGAATTGAGACACAGCCTTTTTWWAAATCTTTACACAGGAACACACTTTAAAATGGTCGCCTTACTCATTTTCAACCCAACTTATCTGTTTCATTGATGCTTCTAGTCTGCAGAAATAATCCATTGTGTATTTTTAACTTTCCTGAATTCCTGTCATGGTCCAAAACTTGGTCACTAATGATGCCAGACTGGGCAGGTTTGTCTCGACACGKTTAGTAGCTCCTCAGACTCCAGAGCAGAACGAGTGAAGGACTTTGGCACCGCAACGTGAAAACACAGCATCTGTTCGGCTCAAACACCCACACCTGAACTCTGAACMAACTAAATGGCTCCTGATAATTTAGTGTGTAGGTCAGTGAGGAAACCTRAGATTACCAGCTACATCACAGAGACTTTCATTGTGAGTCCGTTTTGAACATCTGGATTTAAAAAAAAGCTAATATCTAGATTTTTTTCTGTTTTTGGCCAAGTAGATGCAGGGAAATGTTTTTCATTATGTGTGTGTGAACATGTAGGAATGTTAGTGGAAATCCAGGGTGTGTTGGTAAACGTGAAAGCTTCTYCTACCACCCGTCGCTACGAGGCTCAGGCAAAGTCCAAAAAAAAAAAAATCTAAAGTCTTTAAAGAAGAAAAAACAATAAACCTTGATGCTGGATGTTGCACATTGTCCACCAAAACAATTTGGTTTATATTCATATATATTTATATTTTTTATATATCTATGTATACCAACAAAATACATTACAGGTGCCACTTGAAAATGCAGCCAAAAAAAAGAAAACCGTGTCTGAAACCAAAGTAATAAAAATGCATCACAGTAAGGATATTTACATTTTAGAGCGTGGAGATGTAAAGTAAATAAAAGTGATGGGCTGTTATTAACATCATTACAAAATATTCAAGAAGGCATCTGAGTTAATTTTCTGTGTCCACCTGTGCTGCCCGTCCTCCGGGAGCCGACGTCTGTTCCCTTTTCCTGCGGGCCGTTTTTGTCCGATCCTCAAATCAAGTAAAGAGTCTTTCTGAACGATCCTCCCAAGGGTCAAAATGCAACTCTCTGCATGAGAATGTACGCGTGTGTCCCGGTATGAGCTTATGCTTGTAATAAGTGAGTGAGGACAKTCATCCATCCAGAGGGTCCCTACTTGAAGTTAGCGTAGTCGGAAAAGGCGTCGATGTATTCCTGGACCACTTTGTAGCAGAACTCGTACTGCTCCTGAGGAGGAGATGGAAGAAACAGAAACCTGAGTTGGATTTCATTCAGTCGGGTGTTTAAAAGCACAACAAACCAAATGATGGATAGATGGATGATGGATATATGATGGATGGATGGATGATGGATGGATGGATGATGGATGGATGGATGGATGTGTGGGTAGGTGGATGGATGGCTGTATGATGGATGGATGGATAGATATATGATGGATGAATTTCCTTTAAGTGTTACTAAACTTATATTTGTACGTGAGATCTTTAAAAAGAGACAAGAAAAAAAATGGAGGACAAGGATTTTATCATTTTTCATGTCCAGGAAGGAAACGTGAAGAAAACTTTTGAAGGAGGCCACAATATATGACAGACATCAGATGAAAAACAGGTTATTTTAWGAAGATAAACTCAACATGCGTCAAAACTAATGTAAATTCAGGCTTCAGGCTCCTACCAGTGTCTGCACCATGTGGGGTCTCTGTAGTCTGAGGCTCTTCACCGTCTGGAAGACGTCCAGGATGCCTTCTGCCTTCACTCTCTCCAGAACCGTACTCAGCGCACAGAAGGTGCCTGTCCGTCCAGCACCAGCACTGCATTCACACACAGGAGCAAAACATATAAACACTGCAGAAAGCACGGAGAAAAAAAGAGACTTACACAGAAACAACCTGAGTCCATTTCTGATTTATTTTAGTTACTATAACCTTTTCTCAGACACAYATACTGACTTCAACAGCAGACAAAACGGTTTCTTAACGAAGATAAAAGTGAAAAGTTTTTTTGTTTAATGTGTGCACCTGCAGTGTACAGTGATGGGGTGGTTGCCGGACTGTTGCTGTTGTTTCTGCACCGCAGCAATGATGTTGATCATGCCTTTCCCATCTGCAGGGATGCCCACCTCCGGCCAGCCATGGAAATGAAACTGACGCACAGCCCGAGCCTTGTTTTCCTGGACAACAGAGGTMAGAAGAATTTATTTCTTGAACTAATAATTGATGGTGTTTAGTTAAACTTGTAGGCGTCTCTGTATGTGGACTACTTAGCTCCGTTCAACCAGGACAAACTGGTCCAAAAATACAAAAGTGTAATTTGGAAGCACATTCTGGAAAGACATCATGCTGACGAGCATGACATAAGTTTTCTTGTGTGAAAGAAGTGTTTCAACAAATCTTTTCTCACCCTGGTGTTGGTGACCAGGAGGTCACGCACTGTGTAGCTCTCATTCTCCTCCTCCCTTTTCAGCTCAATGGAAATGTCTCCATAGCTCACGATCCCTTCACTGGGCCAATAYTGAGCACACTTTTCCTAAAACACATTATTATTTTCTCCTTTAGACTAAAACACAAAACTTTTTAAATTTTATTATTCAGTCCTTCTATGCACTGAAACAGACTCACAATCATGTTACAGATTAAAAAACACCAGTAAGTTAAATTTCACGCACATTTACTCACTGTTACAAAACTAGCTGTTTTAGTCAATTATTAATCAGATATCTAATACTGGGACTCACACACACAAACACACATATACCTGCCCTCTCTCCTCCAGCTCAGTAAGCATGACTATGGAGCAGCTCCTCCATTCCCAGATCATCCTCCAGAAGTCCTCTATGGTGTGCTGCAGGGGCCCCTGACTCACTATGTAGGCATCTTTCTGCCGGTAGCCCTGTGACCAGATGGAGAACAGGAAGTGACGGAGGGGAAAGACTGAGTGATGCTAAAGGCTGCTTTATACTTCTTGCACACCATGTGGAGTGACAAAAATATTGCGCAACTTCCGTCTGTTGTCCCCCGGTGATGGCCATCGTGTGCATTTGCTCCCAGTCAGAACTGAAAATGAGAATGATCCGTTTTCTGAAGCCGGTTGTTAAGTTAGCAATTGGCACACGAACATCCAGCTGACGTTCAGGCCTTCTTTCCAGCTCCATCATTAAAGGGATCCCTGATTAGTTGTAACATTAGACTTTATTTGATAAACATATTTTAACTGTAAAATAGACTGTAAAAATACTGTAGGATGTTTAGTTTTGTAAATTTTTAAAAATATATATTTTAACACGGATGGAGCCCTTTTATTTACACACAAAGCATTCTGGGTAAATGACGTGGTGTGAGCGAGCTATATCCACCCTGAAGGTTAATTTTGGACAATATCTGACGATCGACTCTTTTAAATGAAACCAGAGAGGGTTGACAGAGAGGAGAAGGTAGAAATGACTCAGCCTGTAACTGAAAATATAGATGGAGGACAACAGAGCTGCTTCATGGAAGAAGAACCTCAGCTTAGCCTGCTAGCCTTTGCACTAGCGTTGACGCTATATTGCCTTATATGTATTAGCTCAGCGCTAGCGTGACAAATGAGCTAAACTGAGGTCCTCCATCCATATTTTCAGTTGCAGGCTGAGTCATTTTTGTGTTCCCTTCTCTGTCATGTGGATGGAGGACCTCGGCGACGAGAGGAGAATGTGTAGCACTGAGCTAATACATATATATGGTGATAACATCGGGGCTAATGCTAAAGCTAACAGGCTAAGCTGAGGTTCTTCTTCCATGAAGCAGCTCTGTTGTCCTCCATCTATATTTTCAGTTACAGGCTGAGTCATTTCTACCTTCTCCTCTCTGTCAACGCTCTCTGGTTTCATTTAAAAGAGTCGATCATCAGATATTGTTCAAGATTACCTTCAGGGTGGATATAGCTCACTAGCAGCCTCACACTGATGACCTATCCACGTCATCATTTACCCAGAATGCTTTGCGTGTAAATAAAATGGCCCCATTCATGTAATAAATTTTTTAATTTTTAGTTTAAAAACAATAAAAACTGAACATCCTACAGTATTTTTAGTCTTTATTTTACAGTTAAAAGTATATGTTTATCAAATGAAGTCTAATGTTACAACTAATCATGGATCCCTTTAACAARTAGAAAAAGGTTTTCCTCCTCGAACTCTTCACCCAACACAACTCTGATTCATTGTTGACTGAAAAGAAAAAAAAACCTATATCCTAGTGATGCTCTGTGTTACACTGGGAGTGCAGGGGGAGAAATTATGATGATTTATCCCCCGCCCTGTCTTCAGCCAGTGTATAGTCTGTCAGAAAAAGATGTCCAAAATGACACAATCACCGTCGTATCCAAGTATACACCAAGACTTCTGGAAGGAGAACAGCTGGCTCAAAACATCAAGTTGATTTTTTTGCATCTTTAGAAGATGGTCTTTTTTTTTCCTTTTTAAAACACTCACATCGATGAAAGAGGCGTTGACGTAGTCCGTGTTTTCCTCTCCTCGTTTGACTGGAATGATCACTCTGTTGAACTCATCTGTTAGAAACACAAAGAGCCTTGAATTATAGAAGCTTTAACATGAGAACATGTTGGATTTTGTTGCCTTCTTTATCACTTTTGTACGAAACACAACCAAAACCAGGTGGACACAGTTCTGTTAATCCAGCTAGCTTCTCATTTAGCGGATTAGCGTTTTTRCAAACTTTGGAACGTGTTAGCAGACCGATTAGATTTCGATAAATTAGGTTCTGCTAAATTTAAGTCCACTAAAAATTCCCAAGTGTAAAACGTATATTTTTTACTTTTTTTATTTATCCAGAATTAAGAAAAAGATATTCTCTTTTACTAGCAGTGCTGGGCTTAGCATCTTTAGCAGTTAAACTTAAAAAAAGAACTAACATGTAACGATATTTAAATAACAATTACAAAAACTGACTTCATATAAAACATGGTAGAGAAATTATTTTCTATTTGTTTGACTAACTTCAAACGGTAGAAAGAAAAGCTTTTATTTTAAAAGGGTAAACTGGAAGCACCACAAGAGATGTAACTCTGCTGTGGATTGTGAGTTTTGCTAAAAATAATCCCACCCACCTTCAAATTAAACCAACAGAAAACTAACAATAAGTTTGTGTCAGCCTCACCAGTCTTCAGCTGGAAGGAGGTGGAAACATGAAACACGACCAGTCGTCTTAGCAGTTAGCGTTAGCTTCCACTACTTTTTACCTGTTTAGCATTAGTGGAAGTAACTTGTTTAGTGGATTAGTGGTTTGTGAAGCTAAYGTTTTGGTTAGCTGTTCCCACCACTGCCCAAACCCATGTCTGATAAAAGTAAACCACTCACATGGAATGATCTGTAGCACTCTGTTCTTCTTCATGTTGACGGGCAGGTTGCCTGTTCTCATCTTGTCATTCTGAATCTTGATGGATGTGAGTTTCTAAAGATCACRGAACCACAACTTTGCTTACTTGATGCTGCAGAAGAACCCAGTGAAACGTATGTAACTAGATGTAAGATTAAAGCGTGCACACCTTGAATTCGGCCTCCAGCCCGCTGCAGCCAGCTCCAGGTGCAGGAGCRTACAGCTTAGCTAAGTGGGACTCCAACGAGGACACCTCCAGCTCCGTGTCTCCGTACAAATAGTGCTCTAATAAAGCCTGGAAGATGAAAACGTACTGCATCTGTAGGGGAGAAGACATGAATYACTCTCAGGTACAAATGYTGGATGATTGTGGTGTTAGCTTAGTTTATACTTTCAAACTGGACTCACATCGGTCTGCACCATCTGACAACGCTGGGCTCTGATCCGGGTCACGAAGCCGTGCACGTCCACCTTCCTCTCAGCGTTCATCATGTCCAACATGGCATCAATCACTATAAAGGTACCTGTCCTTCCCACACCCGCACTGACACACACACACACACACACACAGGCACGTGATCTTACAAGCAGAAGAAAATACACGTCCCAAAAACAAAAAAGCCTAACACTTACCTGCAGTGAACAACAATAGGGCCAGCATACTGAGGGTTGCAGTTCTTGACTTTCTTGAGGAATTTGAGCATACCGATGGGAGTGAAGGGCACCCCGAAGTCTGGCCAGCTGGTGAAGTGGAACTGAGTGACCAGCCTCTGAGGCTTTTTCCCAGAAACATCTCCCACCTGAAACATAAGCAATCCAAACTGCAGTTAAAGCCACAGAGTTCTTTATTTCTGTACATTAAAGTCATTTTCAGACTCTAAATAAAACTCTGCAGCTGTCAGTTTAAACGTTTTGGTAGCCTTGTCGCAGTCATCGGGTGTTACCTGCTGGATGCAGAACTTGCGGACAGTGTAGTCCACCAGAACCACGGTGTCATCTACAGACACGCGGATGTTGCCGTACGTCCAACAGCCCTGGTCCGGCCAGTACTGCGCACACTTACACTGAAAAACAGTCATGATGAGTCAAACAGTGAAAGATACAGTGATAAATACATTTACAAAGAAATTAAGCATCTGTCTAAATAAATCGAGTGAAAATCAACAAGTTTTTTTGTCTTTATCAAGTCTTCATAGCACCTGTTAACTGTATTTCAACTCTATTCATAGTTATTTGAATTTCTATAGTAATTAAAATTAAGATGAGAGATTGGCCGATACAGGTTTTTGAAGGTCGATACAGATTATTTTTATATCAGTCTAAYCGATACGCCGATACGTGCAGCCAATTGTTTTTGGCCGATTCTTGAAGCCGATACTGCTTTTCCTTCCTCCATTAACATGATAAAAACAACAATAACAAATGTTACACAAGTCTCACTTTAAACAAAAAAGAAACATTTATTAATTGAASCTTGTCTGGTGCAGGCTGAGTGAAGTGCTGCCACACAGAATTTCTTTTATCAGCTATTTCTTAAAATAAATAAATAAATAAATTGATTGGCCAAACACATGAACGTATCAGCTGATACCGATACAAGGGGGAAAAATGCAAATATCGGCCGCCCGATGTATCGGTTGATTCATTTTCTGCTCTTAGTCTCCTACCTCTTTTCTCTCCTTCAGGTTGGTCACCATTACGATGGTGGCTGTATTCTGTTCCCATATCATCCGCCAAAAGTCATTTACAGTTTCCTCCTTCGGCCCTGAATGATCAGGACAGAAATGGTAATTAAGACAATTAAATCCTTCAACGTTTTCAATTACAGTCTATTTCTTCAATGCAGAGCCTCACCTTGTGCTGCAATAAATTTATTCTTCTCCTGGTACCCCTACAGTAAAAAAATACCAACAATAGRTCATCATCTGAAATGAGTCGATTGTATTTAGAGGAGGGTTTTTGCATGGAGAGAGGATGCAGCACAGATACAAACATTTATAAAAGAAGCATTGATGAAATCAGAGTCGGGGACTCCCTCTAGAGACAAGAGATGCACTCTGGAATGATCATCTGAAAGAGGAAGAAACAGGGACTTGTGGTGCGCTATGGTTTTGCAGACTTGTAAATACATTTTGACATTACTAAAAGCTTGAATCGACCAATCAGAACACTGTTACGGCCTGAGCCTGGACTTACACGGCAATATGTTGACGTATCTGTTTTTTTCTTTATTTTCTTCCTTTGATGCAGCATCACAGGATGCCTGGATGGGGCAGACTGGCAGAGCCTGAACAAGGGGATCAAAAACAAAACAATTAAAGATATTAAATTAGTTTTACTATTTAACATTTATTTAACCAGGCAAATAATGTGTTTTTATAAACGCATAAAAGAAAACAGAAGTGCATGACGACCTCCTGATTGACTGATCCTACACCTAACATCCTGCTGGAGGAAGCATTTGTATTTCATCATGAGTGTGCTGCAGCAACAAGATAACTTTCCTATAAATGCAATGATGCCTGATACCCGATACACTGCAGCAGGATTAATATTTATTCATTTATAACTTTCATAATAGATCAAATCTGCTTGCTTAACCTCCTGAGAACCTGCGTCTTCATATGCGGACATTGCATTTTTGCCTCTCTACCCATGATGCATCATCTTTTTCAACTTTAACCCATTGTCCTCATTAATGGACACTACCAGCACCCTTTAGTGGTCCCATGACAATATTACACTCATTTGAGTGAAAACAAGATGGCGGGGATCCCAGTGAAAAGCTTCWACAACAACTCTGGTAAGAAAAATGGCCAAAGTAAAAATCCAAGTTACATTTCATGCTTGAAAACAGTGTATTTATGCAGAGTTGCATCTTTAGCTTTATAAGACATGCAAAAATAACTTTTTTTTACAACTGAAGCAAAGTACAATGTCGGTAAAGAAGAAGTCCTCATTTGAGGACATTGGGACTATAATTTTGTTATTAATTGTGCCATGAGGTAGGACAAACCTGCAAATATTTAGAACAGTTTACAAACGCTAATAGTTAGTGATATATTTGGTCACATATTTTTGTTAAGCAAACAGTTCACAAGCGCAAATTGTTCTCGCAAATGATACATTTGTTCAACCAATTAATCATACCAATGATGTTCAGGTCAAATGGTCTGCAGTTTCCTGCAATTACGTCACGTAATACAGGTGCTGGTCATAAAATTAGAATATCATGAAAAAGTAGATTTATTTCAGTAATTCCATTTAAAAAGTGAAACTTGTATATTATATTCATACATTACAT